GCAGGTGGCACGATGTGGGTAACGACATCCATATGGCGAATTGACAGAAAGCAAAACTGTAAAATGGGGAACAACGACCTAAAATATTGATTTATTCAAGTTCTAGACAGCAGGTGGCACGATGTGTGTGACGACATCCATATAGCGAATTGACAGATACTGCCAGCTAGGATTTCTCATCAGATGACGTCATAATATTGTTTACTCGACAAACGCAATAAGCAAAGGGTACGTGATCATTGTGACTTTCTTCAGTTACATAATAACGCGGTTTTCAGTGTCACGTGATATTTTAATCTGAATCACCTGGGATACTTCGAAAGGGGGCGTGAGTCCAGCACGTGAAAATATCTACCCCTTTTTAGACGGCTTTCAGGATACCATTTCACTGATTACGTTTATTTTTCAGAGAGTTGTCACTATGTAACAAATGAACAACTTTCCAAGCATGATCATTTTCACGACGCCATTTTTAGTGATGTTTGAAAAAAGAACAACATTTATTTTCTCCAAATTTGTTTAAAATTCAGGCTAAAAAATATGGACAACATTCTAGATAATTTGCTTAAAGCGGGAGGGTCGTCACCTGCGCACGTGCGGGAATTGAGACCCAAGCGATGATAACAACACACGCTAATAACGCAAAGGCTCATGGGTAGACGCTTGTTTGAAAAAATGACACTCTATGGCTATCTGACGCATGCGTAGGTGACGACTCCCCCCGCTTTAAAACAGGGACCTCGGTTCATGTAGTCAAAACGTTCAGCTGTTGAATTTCAGTCGGATTTACGGCTTCGTGTTGTTAAATATCGTAAGGACTGTGCTCCAGTCGTGCATTATTTGTTATTGTCACACGCAACGTAATATTACCGTAATTGGTATAGTACAGGTGTGATGGTTCAAATACCAAAATGGCAACAGTTACATAAAGACTTCCCTGGCGGCGATGATAACATACGAACACGGAGCCAGCAGATGAGGTTTCAACTGGTATTGGTATTATTATACTCTGCAAACATTAAGTACAATAACGCGCTAAAACTCCAAACTTCCAATAACTAGATACTTAAACTCCAACACAATTCAACGAGATCTCCGATCTGAACTCAGTGCTGAACAACTGCCCTATATATACCCCCACTGTCTATAAATAGACCATTACATCAGCAAACATAATGAGTCTGGAACTTACTACAAATTTCTAGAATGTTCCATCACCTTCTATTGCCTCCTACAGTGTTCTATTACCTATTCAACCAGTTCCTAAAAATCTAGAATATTCTACCCAGACAAAGTACGTTTCTAGAACATTCTCAGTGACACGGAAGTGGTAAACAAGTCGTATGCGACAGTTATATAATGTACTGCCCCGGCCACAATAAGGCAGCCTAGTTTCAAAATGGCGGCGGAGAAGGGCCGGTGACCATTCAGGACGTCACTGATATCCATATATATATATATTTAGAATATATTTAGAAAGTATGTTGTTGCGTAATACGTTCTTAAAGTTCGGCACTGTGGATGATTCATCAACAACCTCTACTTTCAACTAGTAGCTATCGAAATTCATTCATGAAAAAGGCGTGTAAACTATCATTTTTTTTCCATACAAAGGTGAGTTCATATTAATGAACACGAATGATCACCGGTATGCATTGTTCACATGCACACGGTATTTCCTACGATATTGTTATCAACTTCCAAATTTGCATTCAAAAGATGACAGATGAATACGTCTGACCGTCGCGCCCTCTAGCGTCGAAAAGCTTTTGTGACGTAAATGGGTGTGAGTGACTAACAACGTTGATGTCGCTGTGATCAGTAATCGATCATCAATAAACAATACTGAGATTTGCCATATTCTACACAAAGAATGGTTTAAAGCCAAATCGAACTGTTCATTTGTGCCTCTACACTTGGCATTTTGACGTCATAGGAACGCTCCATCCCTCCAGAGGGCGCGGCTTACGGAAAAGGCCTTATAAGGGAAAGAATGCATAAATATGCAATATCAGATATGCGAATGAGTTCCATGACGTCATACTATTTAGAGGGAATGAAAACGTTATTCAGTAAACCACAGTATTATAGTAATAACATTGAATAGAATCCGGAAACCGTCTTAACATTCGTCAAAGAAAAGGCTCGACATGCAGCCTCGGGCAATATGAACCGTGAACCGGTGGTGGACTAGATGATGGAATATAAACCATACTGCAGATCGTAACAGTATACTATTTATAGGAGAGAGTGGTTGGCTTATAGGTCACACGCTACAATTAAGTTTCCCATACTAGTCGTACGACTGGTTATTTTTTACTCACTATACTTAGGTGGCAAACAAATATAAATTAGTTGTTTATAGTTTTGTTTAATTACGACCTAAAATGTAGCCTATACAGCCTTAGTGGTATTGGCAGTATTGACAAAAACTCACCAAGATGAGTACCCTCTCTAAAAGACCACTTAGCCTCCGTCATTTCACACCCAGATGGTTTTCGTTCGAATTACAAGCTTGCAAAGGTGATTAATTGGTGTGTGTGTGAACCGCTCCTTCATGTGGATTCTAATTGAGTGTCAAACATATGTCTACATTGCCAAGTTCACGTACGAGATATCATGAGAATTCTAATCTCATCATTAAGACGACTACATGCAGAGAAAACCCGATCCATTATGTCTGTTATCATAACATGCTCTATAAATTAAACCATACATGCCATCTCGGTATTTAACTATCTGAAAAAAATGGGTAACTTCCTCGCCTGGAAAGTAGATATATCTGCAGCAATAAACACTAGTAAATAAATACGCGGGAAAAACAATAAGTCATGTGATAAAATATGGAATACAAAATAAAATAAAACTTGTAATGTTTCTTAGATATTTGACGCATGGTGTGCGTGCCGTAGCCAGGAGTGTACCATTATGTGAGCAGGGGTTTAAGCTAGAGTCACCATAACATTTGCCGTGTAAATATACATGTATTACTGAGAAGAAAGAAAAATATGCATTCAGGCCTGGCTGACAGTAAACAAATTCATTCCCGTAAATTTTAACTCTTCAGAGTGAATAATGGCGCCCATCCCTAGGATTTAGAAAAAAAACACATAGAAGTTTAGAGATATATATTTCACAAACTAAAGAAGTCCGAACAGTCTGGGAAAGGGAAATAACTATTGAATATCGTCGCCGTCATAGACGCATTTGCGTGCACAGCTCGTTATTAACTGCATAGCAAACTGTGTATATAGGACAGTCGTACATGGTGATTGTGCTCATCAATTAGCCGTGATTTCATCTTCGAAGCGTACGATAAGTGAGTCTCTAGGCACGTATCGAAACTAGAACACAACGACTAGTTCAAGTACGAGTAAACGCAGCGAGGCGTATCCGGCTTACTAGCCCGATAGCATATCACCGGGTTTGTTCCCAGTCAAAGTTCAGAGCGGCATTCTTTACTAACCCCGCGATGCGCCTTTCATTTGATTTAACGCGCGTGTTCGAATTTCGTGTGTTCATCGCTATGGATCTATATTAAGCAAGAAACGGCGCGACGACCATCGTCCTTTCAGTTTCACTGGAAAAAAGACCATGTCACGAAATCTACGAGGGGTGGTTTACAACAAAGTATTTTTTATTCCAAAATATAAAATAATTGCCTAAAAACTAGTATGTAAATAACAACCAAAATAATCTATTAATATTATTTTTCTACTACTCCAAACTAGAAAATTAAAGTTAAAACAAACGTGAATGATAAATCCTGTTGTCACGTGATAATACGATAATGCCAAAATACTAGTACAAATGTTCGCACCATTTCTTTAAAGTGAGAGGATCGTCACCTGCGCACGCGCGGGAATTGAGTCCCAAGTGATGATAACAAGACACGCTAAACACGCAAAGGTTCATGGGTAGACGCTTGTTTATAAACAATGTCACGCTATGGCCATCTGACGCATGAGCAGGTGACGACTCCCTCGCTTCAAGTTCAAAAATGTCTTCAACAATTTCTAAATGTTATACAGCAGTTTTCTTTTTCGACACTTTGTTCAACATTAATCGAGCACAGGCCTTATACATGACCCCCTAATAGTCACACATCCTGGTTCTTTTAGGGAATGGTATTGCCATAGTAACTGCCTTATGTTATTTACACTTTTATACAGCAATATATCATTATCCGTTCACTAAGAGATCCCGCGTTATGCGTGAAATCGAACGTAAAAACAGGGTAAGCAAAGGTCATAACGTCGTAGTGGCGTCAAAACATCGCGGGGGAAACGCTGCAAAACTATTTCGACATTGAGCTATAAAAAAAATCAAATTCAAAGTAAAATCGTTCGTTTTGTGCGGCAGACGTTCGGTCCGGGCATTTGAAGCAATACGCGAGATCTCGCGGTGAATCTAAAATCACCTTTTTTTTTACCATTCTTAACTATTTTTTAACTTCAGCTAAACGATTTGCATTTTGTGGAAGAAAATATTATGAAATTTTTATTGATGATGAATTGTTTCCCGGAGAGTAACAGGATGTGTGACCTTTCAGCCTGAGGTCATACACAAGGCATATTGACGCAATTTTGTTGCAATTCATTCACAACTGGAGTAATGCTTATAATGTAATATTATCCGGATATATGTGTGTGCGTAGGAAAGGTTAAAACAACCGCAGACTGAAAGTACTCAGTTTCGTTTTTATACCACTGAGGTTGTATAGGATTTCTTTTTTCGGTCTCGTTCAACTTCTGTGATAACTCCGTTTGCTATTTAATTAAAAAAAAGACATCACTGTTTTTCTTTGTATACAATTGTTTTCCTCATAGGTAGGGTAAAACTCATGTTCTGCCGTGTTTTTTTTTTTTTTTTTTTTTTTTTTGCAGCTTTAGGTGGGCGTTGACTGAGTTCTTACAGTAAAGCAGAACGAATAAATGTAACGTTACGTAGCAAAATGTTGTAAAAAATATATATGACGTAAAACATAAATTTGGCCACAAATAACTCC